TGTCTGGGCTGGAAGATCAGATGAGCAAGAACAGTGTGAAGTTTTACGAGATGATTACAAAGTCCTGCACCTGGGATGGAATAACCCAGGAGCCCAGTACAGGCTGGGATCTGTGTGGCTGGGGAGCAGCCTCGATGGGAGGGACCTGGGGGTCCTGGTGGACAACGACCTGAATGGGAGTCAGCAGTGTGCCGCGGCAGCAACGAAGACAAGTTGGATCTGGGGCTGCATCCACAGGGGCATTTCTAGCTCAGATAGAGACGTGGTCCTCCCACCCAGTGCTGTGTCCAGCTCTGGTCCCCACAAGTCACGAAGGATGTGGACAGAGTGGAGAGTTTCCAAAGGAGGGCCACAGAAGTGATCCGAGGGCTGGAGAACCTACCCGAGGAGGAAAGGTTGAAGGAGTTGGGTCTTTTCTCCCTGGAGAAGACTCGGGAACCTCATCAGTTTTTGAGTACTTAAAGGGCAGGATGGAGGCTCCCTTGTCACAAGGAGAAGACAAGGGGCAACAGATACATGTTGCACCAGGAGAGGTTTCATCTCAAAATAAGACATTTTTTACGGTGGGAACATTTACTGGAACAACCTCCCTGGGGACATGGCGGAGTCCCCACGGCTGGAGGTGTTCAGGACACCTCTGGACAGGGTGCAAGGTCATCTCACCCGGGCTCCCTTTCCCACGAAATCTTGGACCAGATGATCTCTCCAGGTCCCTCCCAGCCTGGGCTGTTCTGTGGTTCTGCCATAACAGGGGCCGCAACGGTGCTCGGCGCTTTAGGAGACGTGATGCAGGGGATGGAGGTGGGAGCTGGGGTAGAAAATGAGGCTGGGCAGGCGCTTTCCAGGCATTTCGAGGGACGAGGATCCCTTGTTCTCCACTCTCCTGGGGCAGGAAGGATGGGAAGAGATCAGGTGGAGCCATGGCACAAAGAGCACCTTGGTTTCACCATCCCTTCGTAGCCCGAATTGCTGTGACAGGCAGAGCTTTGGGAGGATGCTGAGTTTCGGAGCGGGATCTGGGGTGAAGCAGACATGTCTTGGGGTGCTTTGGGGGCTGCTGTGCCCCTCGCGAGCATCTCCCAGGCTGGCAGCGCCATAAAGCCGGGTCTGGAAAGCTCCTCGCCCGACGCCGCAGACCCTCGTGCCGTTCGCAGGCTGTCAGTAGACGAGCGGCTTAACGAGCACATCACTTCTGCGAGGCAGGCACTGAGCGGGAGACGACCGCTCTCCTGTCTAATCATGTGCTGGGCCGGGCACTGGGACCGGAGAATGCTATTCCTGGCTCTCCGGCATGCTCTGCAAGCCGCTGAAGGCTGCCTCTGTCACTGTGCCCACCTGGCAGGCACGTCTCGTGTCTCTATCTGCATAAAATAACTCCAGGATCCTCAAATGAGAGAGTTGCAAAGCACCGAGTGCTGGTAATGGGGAGAAGGGCTGAGGCTCTCTAGATGAGTGTGTCCTGCTCTGAAGGTGATGCTTCAAAGAGGGTGTTGAAAGATGGGGGGGAAAAAATGAGATGAATTACAAGGTCTGGAAGATGAAACACCTTCTGGTAAGAGACACGGGAATGGGGCTGCTCGGCTTGTTAAAAGGAAGGTTCAGGGGTGACTTGAGCATCTAAGCAGGTGATGGTTTGGGGACTCGTTCTGTCTGTCTGCTAAATTAGAGAGGCTGAAACGAGGAAAAAAATTGCACTGAAGGATAGTACAGCCAGCACGGAGGGTAATTAGCTTTGCCTCGTCTCCACAAAGCCTGCGAGCACCCCCTGCGGCAGGGGTTGCTGTGGGAAGCTCTCCTGTCCGGCCAGGAGCGGATGTTACGCTGCTCCCATTAATTAATGATCATTTCAACCATCCGCCCTTTCTTCTCCCAGTATTTGCCTACGGCGCGACGGGAGCAGGAAAAACCTACACCATGCTGGGCTCTGAGAAAAGCCCCGGCATCATGTACCTCACCATGATGGAGCTGTACAAGAGGATCGAGGCCAGAAAGGAGGAGAAGAGCTGCGAGGTCCTGGTCTCCTACCAGGAGGTAAGCTGCGGCCGAGCCGTGTCCCCTCCTGCCTCCGGGTCACCGTTGCTCAGATTTGGGGTGAATCTGGACCCTGTAGTGCCATGCTCGGGGTACCTGCTGTGCTGCCAGCTGTGCCCGCTGTCCCCAAGGGCAGCCCTAGAGCCCGACTGGAAGCAGGCTCACCCACCCAGTTTGGTGAACTGGTGCTGCTGGTTTCTCCCATCTGGAGTTGGGAAATTTTTCCTTCCTTGCCGTGGCCCACATAGCAATGAAGGCTTCCTGGCTGAAAGGGCTTTAGAGAAGCGGTGGCGCGGTGACTTGCCAGTAAAGCCCTCCTGAGCTGTGCTCTGCATTTAGAGCACCGTCAGCTGCTCTCGGTGTAACGAGGTCCCGGAGGTGGTGTTGGGGGGCACACCAGGTTGTGCGTGACCCTGGGGTACAAAGCTCCTCTCCCCGCTCGCCGCCGGTGAACCAAACCTCAGCCTTACATCGACTTCCCTGCTCCAGGTGTACAACGAACAGATTCATGACTTGCTGGAGCCCAAGGGCCCTCTGGCCATCCGGGAGGATCCCGAGAAAGGAGTCGTGGTTCAGGGTCTCTCTTTCCACCAGGTGGGTATAAAAATGGGCACAAGGTCTGGGCAGCGCTGCGCCTATACCAGTTCTGAAAGCGGATGCGTGTCCTGGGAACACGGGTGCCTGTGAAGACACGGGAGTGCTGTCTGCGGGGCTCCTGGCTGGCAGCAAACGTGACCCCGAGCTGAAACGAGCCCCACAGAGCTACGGGATCTCTCAGCCTGAGCTGCCGTGGCTGCTTGGTGTTGGGTTGTCTCGGTGCCTGCGTACGGGGTGTGCTGATACCTCCCCTCTGCCTGTTCTCTCCCAGCCCGCGTCGGCAGAGCAGCTTCTGGAGATGTTGGCCAACGGCAACAAAAACCGTACGCAGCATCCCACTGATGCCAACGCCACCTCCTCCCGCTCACACGCTGTCTTCCAGGTGAGGGCTGGTGGTTGCGGTATCACTCAGGATCTGGGCCGAAAAGGGGGCTAGGGAGCAAGCCTGTGCCAGGACCAGCATCGCGGGGTTCCTGCCGCTGCTCCTGGTGTGTCACGGGGAAAATCAGAGTGGTCGTGGCCCCGAAAAGAGAGGTACAGGGCTGGGCAGGCCACTAGCCTGTGCTGCAGCAGGACAGCACGTACTGGTCGTGCTGGTGGCCGTGTCTCCTAGACAGCCCTATACTCCCAGCTTGGTGTTACATCTCCCAAGGGCTGAAATTTCACTTTGTGCTTTTGACTCTTGTCAACTTAGCATGTGGGAGCCATACCTAAAACCTGACCCCGAGCAAAGGGGGCCGATTATCGCTGGCTTCTGTTTGTGCCTCCCTGCTGCGGGCAGGCTGTCTCCTCCATCGTGTTCCCCTTGACGCTGAGCCGGGAATTACGCTCCCCCAGGGGGTCTGTAAATTTGCCTCCCCTGGTTTCTCAGTGCTCTCCTACGCAAACCTGCCAGTTGATTTCAATTCCAGCCAGGCCCTTCCCCGAATTAGCAGGGCCGTCACGGCTGTGTGGGGAGACGGAGGGCTCTGACTGCAATTTCAGTCTGAACCTGGTGCCTTGCCCATTACTGCTTGCAGGGGGGAAGTCCAGGTGTCTGGATGCTTTCCCAGCCGGCTTCCCAGCTGGGCTTGTCGGTGGGTGCTGGATTCCTGCCTGCCACAAATCCATTAGCTGTGCTGGAAATCTGCCCTTCCCGCTGCTGGCTCTGTCTCCCGGCAGGCAAACCGTGGTCTGGTGAGGATGCAGGACTGGTTACCGGCCTCCAGCATCTCCGTGGCACCTCCAGTCCGTGCAGGAGTTGCTCCTGGGGGGCTGAGAGTGTTATAGAGTGGTGGGGGAAGGGTGTGCTTTTCCTGGGAGATCTTTAGGGATGCAGAAGGGGAAGTTACAGAGCAGTGCTGCCAGGTGAGTCTTGGGGGCTGTGTCCCTTCTTGCCCGCACCAGCCGGGAACGGGGCTTGGCACCGACAGCCCTGGCTGCATGCCTCCCTGGGGGCACTGTGAGATTGTGTCTGGGGGCTTTGCAGCCCCTGTTGGCATCCGAGTTTGCTGGCAAAATCCACAGTCGGAGTCGGAGCTGGGGCTGCCGCCGTGCATGAGCGCTTCCCGGGTCGCGCCGGGGCTCTGGGTTGGCATGTTGCCCTTTGGGGACCTGACCAGCTGTACCCTGCTCGCTCAGCGAGCATAGGAGATGCTGATTATTTTCCGTAGCTCTGTCACTTCTTGCGAGAACCCTTCGGTGGCTTTGCTACTTGTGTCATCGCCAAGTTTTTGGCTTGTCTTCTCAGCGTGCCGGGCTCCTCTTTTCCCCCTGCTCGATCTCACGACCTGTGTGATCCTCTTTGCCATCCTTCCATAAACACTGAAACTGGTGATGCTGGCTCCAACCAGCAACCCTGTGTGCCTTGCTGAGCTGTGGCCTCACCGATCTCTGTCCTTGCAGATCTACGTGAAGCAGCAGGACCGTGTTGGCGGCCTCGCTTGGGATCTGCAAGTGGCCAAGATGAGCTTGATCGACCTGGCAGGCTCGGAGCGAGCTTCAGTCACCAACACCAAGGGAGAGCGGCTCCGGGAGGGTGCCAACATCAACCGCTCGCTGCTGGCCCTCATCAACGTCATCAACGCGCTGGCTGATGCGAAGGTAACGCTGTTCACGTGGCCCCGTCGGGTTCTGGCTCTCCAGAGCGGATGAATGTGAGGGGTGTCCTCAAGTGATGGTCTAGCCGGTGCAGTGAGGCTGGCAGCCTGGGCTGGGCTCTGAGCGGTGCTGTGGGATGAGCATGGCCGTCCCCTTGCGACACAGGATTCGGAGCTGAGCGCCCAAGGGCCAAAAGCTGAGCAGACCCTTGATCTCTCGGTACAGAGCAAGAAAACCCACATTCCATACCGGGACAGCAAGCTCACGCGCTTGCTGAAGGACTCCATTGGCGGCAACTGCCGCACCATCATGATCGCTGCTGTGAGTCCCTCCATGCTGGCCTACGAGGACACCTACAACACGCTCAAGTATGCCAACCGGGCCAAGGAGATCAAGCTGTCGGTGAGGACCTCGCGTTGCGGCAGTGATCTGCTGTGCGTTTGGGAGCTGCTGGGGATGGGTGGGAAGGAGTCTGGTGCGTGGTGGGGTAGATTAGTGGGTGCCTCCCTTTTCCAGCTCTGGGGATGCCGCTCCGGGCAGAAAGCAGCTGATGAAGCTGCAGGTGCTGCGTGCTTGGTCTTCTGCTAAAGCTGCTCAGCCCAGAGCCCAGAAGGGCTTGTGACATGGACAGCGGGTCCCTGAGCGCAGATCATGTCCGCTACAGCCACCCTGGGGCTCCCTGGGGCCTGAAAGAGGTTGAGTAGCTGTGCTGCTCCAGTGTGGGGAGAGAGGTACATGCTGCCCCAGTGCTTCTTTAACCTCTCCCTCATCTCTGTCTCTGCAGCTGAAGAGCAACGTGCTCACCTTCGACTGCCACGTTAGTAAATATGCCGTGATCTGTGAGCAGCTGAAAGCGGAGGTGAGATGCTGGCAAGGAGGGCAGGGCTCTGTCTTTAGCTGTGGTTTGCTTGAGACGCGGATCTCTGAGCTCCTGGGGGTTGTGAAACCGTCTGAGCAACAGATGATCCTTCCTCGCAGGTGGCAGATCTGCGGGCGAAGCTTCGTGCCTATGAGGACGGTGCCCGGCAGGCAGAGAACCAGGCGCCGGCGCCGCTGGCTCCCCGCAGCTCGAGCCCGGTGGGGCTGCCCAGGTGAGGCTGGTGGGGAGGAGGGACAGAGCTTGGTGTGACCTCCTGGTGTCCCCCGTGTCAAGGAGCCAGCAGGGTTTTAGTGCTGTTCGGAGCCTAGGTGTCTGTCAGAAAGCAGATGAGCTTCTCAGCTTCTCCGGTGGTGTGTACCATCATCTCAACTCTGGTTGGGTGTAGTTATGAGCACGACGGACCACAGTGTGCAAGCACCAAGGGAAGCTGGGTTGCAAAGGCCAAATCTTCCTTTGATTCATCCCAAAACTTCTTATGCAAAATGATGACTTCACCAGAGGATCTTTTCTGGCTCAGTGGCTTCTTCTCTGGCTTCTGTAGGTTGGAGGAAGCTGTCCTGAAGACGGGCTTGGCCCTGGATGATCAGAGGGAGAGTGATGGAGAGCAGCAGGAGCTGGAAGCTGGATGGCCTGTTCAGCTACAGCTGGAATCGGAGGAGAAGGTGAGAGAAGGGGTGGGCAGCGCGGGAGGGCTTGGCATGACGAGCAAGAGGCTCGGGGGGCTCAAATGCCCTCGTGGGGTACACTGGGCGTGCTGGGGGAGGGCAGGAGCTCAGCCAGTCTGTGGGGTCCTGGCTCGGCATGTGCTGGGCTGTGGATTGTAGCGCAACCCCTTAACTTCCCAGCTAACGGAGTTTGGGGACCAAACTCAGCTCAAATGTGGGCTAATCTTGGGCTTTTGGGTGATTGCTCCAGGCTCCAGAGGAAATGCCTCCCAGCAGCCCTAGAGCAACCCACCAGACAGATGTCCAGCTGGAACCGAAGGAACCGAGCCACCTTCTACAGGGGTTGTATGGCAGCCAGAGAGAAACGTGAGTGTCCTCGTGCCATCCCCATGTGCCACTTCCTCTTGTTTGCCTATGGAGGACGGGTTGTCCAGCCTCCTGTGTTGCATGTAGCCATCCTAGGGATGGTCTAGATGGACGTGGGACTGGGTCTTTGCTTGTAGATGACTGCCTGTCCTGTAAAATAAGGGATTTGGCTCCTGGGGATCTAATCCCATGGTATAATCCCTCCTGGAAATGCTAGCAATGAAGGTTTCCAGGCACAGCAACTGTGTGAGCCTTAAGTGCGTGGTGTTAGTCCTGAAATTACCTCCGCGAAGTCTTTCCTCCTGCCTCGGCTCCCCCAGGTCCTGCCCTGGCAGGGCTCCCATGGCACCATCTGCTGATGTCTCTGCCCCAAGTATCTTGGCAGAATGAACCTCTTTAGAAAGGTCTCTTGAGGGAGGCTGGCCTTGACGTGTGCCTGGATCTCTGTCTGCCTCTAGCCGAGCTAACGAGTGTCTGAGGCCTGGCAAAAAATCTGTGGATGCCATTTGGTCCCTTGTAACCAACAGGTGAACACATAACTCACAGCTCAGGTTCCTCCAGTAAGATTTACAGCTTGGGTATCTCACAGCTTCAAAGTTTGCCTCTCTTCCCCCAAAACTCTGCTAACAGGCTCTGTCCCGCCCGAGGAGGTGTCTCAGAGGTGGTGCTGAGCCTCTGGTACTGGTGACAGTGGCTCAAGCTCACCTGCTAACTGGTTTTTGGGTCTGTCTCTCTGTCCCAGGCTTGTAGCCGCTATCCTGAGCATTGCCCGAAAGCAGTATTCCCTCCTGAAGGCTGCCAACCTCTTAACTCCTGACATGGTCTCTGAATTTGAGGAACTGGAGCGCCTGGTCCGTCAGGAGGCTGGTGTAAGCCTGGAGCAAGCCACGTCTCCGAACAGACCCGCAGAGGTCAGCGGGGCCACCCCAGCCCAGCGGATGCAGCAGGGCTGCGACGGTGAGGATTTGGGTTTCGATTTGGGATAGTCAGTGCTGTCCCCTCTCCTCTGTCTCGGCGTGCACTGGAGGAGCCGATGGGAGGCGGGGGCAGCTCCCAGCCCTGGGGCGA